GCGCGCAGCACGTGATCTGATCCAGACGTCCAGGATGTAGGTCACTCCAACAGCTGCTAAGCATTGTTGTCAAAGTTGTTACTGTAGCTACTTTTAACGTAACTATTTTCATGTATATATATATATACATGGGTTACTGCATCTTTGTAAAATCCTAACTAATCCCTCGCGTAATTGCATCTAATGCATCTGAGCTGTCAGCCGCATCGTTTCGACCTCGCTAGCACGACATTCCGCGTCTTGCGGAAAAAGAAACAATAACTAAAAGTACAAATACAAAAGATTAGAGTAATTTGAAAGACGTTCACCAACCGTTAACAGGAAAGGCCGATCTCTTGCAAATACGTGCGAATATCAATCTCGCTAATTGGTTTCCAAAACTCTAGTACCGAAAATTTTGCTACTTCCGTCAGTAGTTCGGCGAGAAGTTCTTGAAATCATAGCCTTCAAAACTCAGCTTAAACTCAACCAGTTTTTTGTACTTTTACTTGAGATTCCATAATGTAAGTGAAGCCGATCTGTACCGAAAAGTGTGGAGGCACTGTACAGCTGCTTCATACTTCTTGGGAGTCATTAACATTGCCCTTCTCAAGAAACTGCAGGGCGTTTCGAACCCACGACCTCTCACCTAGTTTGATCACATGGCGTTCGGCCACGAAGGGCCGATGAGCATTGTGATTACTCCTCATTTAGATAGGACATAACACCGCTTATCCTCCAATCTCGGGAACGATATCGTGTGGTCACGTGCTCACTGGCTCCCCGACTGACAACTTCTCAGTTGGAACTTTCACTCATCTTGCTGAATTACTCTTCCTCCGACTCGTTTGTTGTCGATGTAGTCGCGAAATAACTGTTCGTTTTGTCTCGTCGCCACTGCTCACAGTTGATGCGAATGACCTAACTCTTTCAGCCTAAACAATCACATGCGTTAACGCACTCTACTTCATTAGATCAGACAGTCACCTCTTATCATCCTAGCAACAAACGGAAGAACCGCATTAGGACTAAATACTAAGAATCTTGCAACACCTCTCGCAACATTCATGTGGCTACTGTCAGCAATAGACTGGAGAACTGGGCTTATACTACTAATTCAGCTCAAGTAAGGTTGACGTCAACGGTTATGTGTGTTGTATACGGTTTGTTATTCGAGGTTTTCAAATGGAAAGCCATGCTTTCATTGTTGGACAGTTGTTGAATGTGCGTAGTACATTCCCAAAACAACTCAACCTAATGAGTGAAACCAATTCATTAGTTTTTTTCTGGGTTACACAACACTGTATCAAGGATTTGATACCATCGCCTGAGTTCCAATGTGCCGAGAAACCACATGTGATCAATTGTCTGAAGTCACTCATTTATCATGTCAAATGTGCCACTCAAGGTACAAATCCTAGCGGAAAAGTTCGAGGTCTTTATTTCATAAATTTTGGCGACGTAACGCTGGAACTACTTGAATCTGAGAGGTTGGTAACCTTCCGAATGGTGATTTTCGGGTGATTCCATTAGGTTCAGAAGGTTTTTTGTCTGATTTTACAAATCGCACGCACTATGACATGTTGGAGGATAGTGTAAATTCTGTTCACCGAAATTTAGAAGCGACAGAAGGGCAGAGAAGAAGCTACAAACTACGGTACCGGATAGGGTTCAAGTTCAAGATGGCTCTTCGGTTAAGAGTGGTCCATGATTCAAACCAAACCCCTGTATCTCGACCGCCTGTCTCTAGGTTTGGGCAACCCGGCAGTAACGCAGCCTTCCTGCTTCTTTCAGGTGACACGGCGCCGGATGAGTGTCGCAGTTGAACGATACTAGACATTAGCCGAGAATTTGATCTATTTAGGAGGAGTTTATGGACCGAGAATAAGCCTTAATCTAGAAATTTCTGAATGTACTAAGTTTTCTAAATTACTATATTTATTGTGCCATTCTCCGTCACCCGATACGGTGAAGTAAGGCTCTACACAGTATTCCCAAAGTGACCGAAAACGATGGGCGCTCCTCAGTGGTCCAAAACTACGGTAAATCATGCGTCTTCTAATGTCTGTTTGACCACATACAAGTTTGTGTAGAATACTATCGTCAGTAGGCGTTTGTGAACAACGCAGGACAAGTTCATCAGAAAAATCTCAGGGTAAAGGTAATGCCCTATGCGTCAAGTTTGTAAGTAACAAGTTGTTCAGGAGTTATACCCTACATTTCATACACAGAACTGACAACAAAGATGGTGATCCATTTGGCTTCAAGACCGAACCTTCTAAGGCTTTCAGTCCATAAAAACGGTAACGTGGCACATTCGTCATTCGCGACTTTTAGGTTGCCATACAGACTAGTTCACGAAAGAGCCACACTGCCAAGTCAACTGGGCTGGAAATTTTGGGGGGCCGTTTCATGGAGGTTTGGTAAGCAAACAATGGATGTGTGCTGGCTACAATTTTGCTTTGTCGGGCCAAGTTAGTAATTTATCAGGCTGATAGAGTTCTAGGGTAGTCAGGGGATCAGTCCGTAAGAATTCTCATGACTAACCGACCTGATCAGTGCCGGGTGTCGATTTGAAAATTCCCGTTTATTGATTAGTGGGAATAAAATGAGCAAGCCATCTGCTGTCTATTGTAGTGTAGCCAATTTACCCGATACACCCTCAAGTAACGAAAGACGTGATATGTTGAAGAAAGCATTTAATTTCAAAGTAAGTAAAAGAGTTATCAGGGCTGAAGGGATACTTCTTCGTGTTGAGTCCGTGTTTTAGAGGCTTTCTTGAAGGGAAGAGGAGAAATTATGTGTACAGTCTCAGCACAAAGGGGTTCCAAATATTTCATCATCAACAGAGTGAAGAGCCTTAGACACATTAAAACATGTAGAAAGTGTAGCAAGTAAAAAAGACAGATGAGGATAGGACCGAAATCGTCATGAATAAAAGTGACTTGGCATTTTTTCATTTTCCGATAGTGTCTTTTCGCCAGCAATTATCAGCTTCATTGGGCGAAGTCACACCATGAGGGGGCCAGGAAACTGGTCTTTCAAGACAGAATCGATTACAAACGCGCTCCTGTTCTACAACGATACGGTCAAAACATCTTGGGATAGTGTCTCCGGAGAGACAAGTGAGGCCTATTAGCGTACATCAGACCAAAGTGTGAGTGTGGCTTGTATGGGTTTCCCTTCCTTTGGCGCTGATTGCGAGGCGGACAGAGTGTGTGGGCTTTGCTTGAAGAACTCGGGCAACCGAGATCATTTCACTTCAATCGGCAATCCGTTCGGTGTTATTTATACCAACTTTGCAACAACTTTACGTTACTCCTCTGAAAGTTGGCTCTTGCTAGGAAGACATTTTCAAGTTGTCTTTGGGACAGTAAAAATCGAAAAAAAAAACAGTGGATTCTGGGGTAGAAACTGAAGCATATTCAATGCGGCTTGCCAGTGACTCTCAGTTCCACCATGGTACCACTTAACTTCGCCGCGGTTTTTTCCGGAAGTCTGTGTACTGACCCATATGTTCCTAGAAATCTGAACATACAAGCACCTATAGCAACGCCGAGTAATTCCAAAGTTGTTAGGAACAAACATAACCAGTTCTGTCTGGCTTCAAGGAGATCGAAAGAGATCAAGAGATATTGAAATCCGGTAGATCCTCGAGACAAGGCCCTTCGCTAGTCCGAATTCAAGCCTGTTATATCGTGAGTGGCCATCTATCGGCCGGCTGTATTGTCAGGACAAAACATACAGAGCTTCCGCGTACATATATAGGATGACTAAATGGCCAAATATGGTCGTTCACCTGTTCGTTTGTACAGCGGTGTTCCGGCCGTGAACACTTTCAGCCCCACTCTACTGGTCCCAAGTTCCTGAGCCGTGTATGGTGAGTCCCGTCAACGCATCTGCTTTCCGGACGTGTCGTACCGATGATGACCTTGGGGATGCGTCATTCTCTGCACATTTACTTTTTCCATGTCTGGACGCGTCCTGACGAAGTCCCATGGATCATTTCCTTCAAGGTATGTGAAGGAATTTGTCTTCAATAATTTGCCTTCATGCGTTAGTAGTCAACCAACCGGTCTTGGAAAAAATGATTTTCACTTGTTCCAGATGTTTGTTTTATGCAAATAAAATACAACGCAACACTCCGAATATGCATATCGCAAAGCTTTTTGCCGAAACCAGTTCTGTATATTACAACGATCCAAAGATCCAAATTAACATCGTCAGTGCAATGTCACCTCAACTGGTGCTCGAACGTTTGCAATCCGACTGCCAACCTCAGCGAACAGACCAACAAGTAATCAGCGCACTCGAGCTACCTACATTCCACAACACTGACAGATCCTTAATACCAGGTAGGTCAGATTCCTGAAAGTAACCTCAGAACGCCCGGAACCTACTGCTCCACCAAAATCTCAAGAGGAAAGCTGGCATGCATCCAGGCCAGTCAATCATTCAATCAATTAAGCAAAAGCTGATGAGTGTTCATGCACGCCACAGAAGCATACCAAATGTGGTCAGCGTTCAGGCATTTCATAGAGGCACGATCGATGTTGATGGGTGTTCACTAAGTCCTATCAGACAGCCTGGATCAATGTCAGAATGTCCCCTTTAAACAGCGTGGGGCCGTTGTAACTTTTGCTCTCGCACTTGCTTGTTCGGAATATAGCTGTTGTGTTCCCTTCTGTGAGTCTTTTTTCCGGGAACTAGGCCCTGGAGCAGGTCAGCAGCAGATATCACAGATTGACGAATCAGCAGATATAACGCTTATCTACTAGTAGTGTAGGAAGCTAGCGTTTTAGGTGGGGCTTAAATCGACATACGCAATTCAGATCGGGTGACCGCACAGTCTGGAGGGGTAGATGCGTGAATTGTTGTTTTCGCATTGAAATTAGATGCTTCTGTGGTGTTTAGGTATGCTTAGTTAATTACCAGTTGAGAGAAGTTTGGATATTGACAATATGGCTCGTTTTCGTCATCCTAAGCGATCAGAGGCGACACAGTTTCCATCCGAGTCGGCCTCCAAGTGAGGTGAACTCGCTAGAGCATAGTCTGAATCATATTAGCTTCGGATATTCTAAGCAGAAGTGAGTCTTCTAGGAAAAAACGAGCAACTCAAAAGAGACTCCGTTTTTTATTCATTTTTTTCAATTTCCCGTTCAACATGGGACATTCAAGTTTCAATAGTTTTATAGCGGATTTACAGTCACTATGTTGTATGCTGAGGAGTGGCGCAGTGTCCGCAATGATCTGTATTCGATATACACGTTGCAGCCTTCCCGTTTGTGATTACCAATCATTGACGGGTCGAGTGAGGTACATCAGTCCCATTTTCTTTATCACTGGCGGATAGAGCGCACACTGAGGAGACACCAGACGTGCTGAAGTGAAATCTTTCTGGAGCTGTACTCTGCCTAACAATCCTGGACAGCGATAGAGGAAGATTAGAGGCTTCGACAAATACGCGCATTTGTGTATCAATTTGGTTTTGAGACAAGACTCACCTGTTTTCCAGCTGAATCTGTCGTTTATGATGTTCTTAAGCATGATGGTCTTACTTCGAGCGTCCTTGTCGTCCACAATTCGGGTCATATCAATAACGAATGAACCAACGTATAAATTAATATTAGAACTTTGACCCAACCGAGTCAAGTTAACCCGGACAGACTCAACATCTGGCTCAGATCGCTTGGCTCGATCCATAGCGTTATTTATGTGTTATTGGTTCTAGCATCGCCTACAACCCCACCAACAGTGTTTTCCGACGAGCGGGGACACGTCTCGTTCAGAAGTCCATCATTGTTCAGGTTTGTCATACGCCTTGTTGGCCGATCCACAGGATATTCAGTACCTCAGTCACAATGTTTCTCAGTGGGCTTGTGAGAATGCGCACAATGCAGCCTTTCAATGCATGCATCAAAGCTGTCTGCCACCGGATAAGCTATCGGTATTGAAGGACGTACATAGTGCCCTTTGAGCTATGCGCACCAGTGATCTTTTATGGGAAGGCGCAGAGAAGACCTAGCGCGAGACTGAGAGTTATGGCCGTTCGAGGCTTGTCGTAGGCACACAATTATCACAGCAGACGGATTTTGGATAAGTCAGTTCTTCAATCCTGCTCTACATCGATATGGGGATGGACGCCATATTTTAGCGCTTGTAGCCATGGGAAAGCCCCTTGAATTGTACTCTCGGATTGTCACTGCTTTTATCTGTGTGTAAGCTGACCTCACCAGCCTCAAACACTGACGTGGATGTGAGCCGAATGGGGACAAGACTTGGGGATGAGACTGGTGGTGGTGGTGGTCATTCGTCGCTCGGAGCAGATTAAAAGCAACTAACTCACAGAGGAGTGAGGAAACTCAGTGGAGCATCGATCAAGCCAGCTGAGTCAATAGTGAGCTGTATCGGTAAATCTCCTGATTGATAGTGAATATCGGATGAGTGTGAAAGACTTTGTCCAGTTCTCCTACTCACTGATGTTGAGTTTAATATGGATCGACACTCGCACCAGGAAGCGCTAAAAACCGAAACAAGGACATGCCAAATTTGTTCTGACTGGTACTCCACTCAAGAGAAGGAATCTATCTCAGTGGAAGACCACGAACTATACTGTCCTCATCGGTTATTGTATACACTGACAAGATATTCCGGCTTGTACCTATGAGGGAAAATGTTGCCTGGACTGAATTTGAAATCTGAATTCCAGTCTGCGCAACCTTAATATCGATTATATTTAATCATGTGTACTTGAACTGAATATGGTTGCATTCCAATACGTTGGACTGGAAAAACGATCATGGAATTCTCCCAGACGGTTCCCGACAGAAACATCATCAATCTCACCCAAGCTATTAAAACCAGGATCCTATGTCGCATAGGCCCGTAATGTGGGTGCCCAGTTTTTGGCAATCGGCTGATGGAAGGATAAGGGTTTCGGGTGAACTGCAGCACAGACACCGAGGGAAGTGACCTTGAACTACTGCCGACAAGTGTGTGTGCGTGTGTGTGTGTGTGTGTGTGTAACCCATCCCAATCCCAAGATTTCGACAATTCGCTCTACGGTATTTTGACTCCACATGTATGAGAGTAAACAAGACACTGTCGAGAACGAAATACAATACAACGATTTTGAATCAAAATCAGGCTTTCGGTAGAGGTTCCCCTCAATCACCTAACAAAGATTATTAGAACTGAACAGCCAACTGGGGTATTATTGTCTTCTGTCCATACAAAGGGTATTCTGTCACTTTGTTGAACAAAAAGGTCTATTCCAGCGAGATGGGCGCGATTGTGTGAGACCGTCAAACCTGTTTATTGCTCCCAGCAAGGAAACATAACTCACCCAAATAGAATCACCTGTAGGGAGTTTGTTAGAGACGTTTATGATCGTGAATTTTTGCCCAACGATCAAGTAGTCAAGTGATTCGTTTTCATTATAGAGTCTATNTATGAAGCTTCTTCAGTTTCCATGACAATCATATGAACAGACGGGGCAATGGAAAGCCCACTAGATTCCAACTTATGTCAAGTCTTGAGAAGAGAGCGACAGAGACTACCAGGTCACACTTTCACAGATAATAGATAGACAATACATTTATAATGTGCAAGGTCACATAAGGTACCTAGTGGACTGTGAAAATTTGGGGACTTCCACCCGCCTATCGCAGTAGAACGCGAATGGGTCAGTGACCTTGGGGATTAATTTGGGTTTTAACGGGCGACTGAGCTGAATCTAAAAGAAATCTTTCATCTATGGCGTTCCTCAACTAAATGTGCTGCACAAAGGTTGTCTCATGTTTCAAGTGGCACCATATTTGAGATGTCACAATACTGTTCGATCGGCCGCCAGCGGTTTTCCTCCTTAATGGGGCCCATCAGATGAGCGTATACTCCGAGTTCCCTTCAACCTTATTTTGTAATTGAACGACCAACTAACGTGGCAAACAAAGCGAGGCTCAATAACTGAATTGAACCTGAATCTCTCGTTTATGCGTAATCAAACAAAAGATGAGGTTGACGGAAAATCGAGGACCAGGTCTACCTGAAGAGCACCGAGAACGATGAAGCCAGTGGTGGGCAGTGGAAGTGTTCCCAGCAAACTTCAGAAAACAGTGAACTCTTGTTTCAGATTCGTCAGTTTGCCCAAGGACAGGACGATCAATAACAAAAACTTCAGGCAAATAATTATTCTTCAGTCTACAAGCGTATCTAGTAAAATAATCAGTAGTATGTACACAAATACCCTGAGAAAATCTTTCAAACAGTAGTTTATTCCCAAGGATCGAAGAAATTTTCTGCGAAAATGACAGCCCAGATTCAACCAGCAGTCAGAATTGATGGCGTCAGCGACCGAATCTATTGTCATCTGCGGGGAGCAGCTGGCCTATCGCGTTTGTCAAGAATGACAGGAATACCGCTTCCGCCTTTCATAAACAGCAGCCCAGCTCAGACAATATTCCCCTTCTCCCATGCTGACAATAACCAGTTGAACCAGGGAATTTGCACAAGCTCAGGCAGGCCTGTCAAAAATTTGTGTTCCTCACTCGTGTTTAAAATTCGTTCCCCAGACTGCGAATTTTTCAAAAGTGTTTTTGGCAAGCAAAGAAAGATCTTCCCAGTTCTTGGTGGAGAAGGTGACAACATATTCGAAGCCACAATACGGACTGGTGACAAATATCTGTTGGTATAAGTAAAAATACAATTTGTAAAATTGAGTATTTTTCAACAGATATTATTCCTTATTCTTTTTGTTTCGAGACACTGGGGGAAAGTAAATTGATAACCATTAGGGCGCGTTGATTTCATCCGATTCTCTGTACCCGTGAGTTTGCCGTAAACTCCAGAAAGCTAGGCACTAAGGAAAAGTTAAATCTCCCTCAGACTTCTACTTGTAATTGCTACCTGTGTGAGGTCGTTTATTCCATAGTAAGCAACACAACTTAGGAACCATAGTTCTCTTCCCAAAACCAAATTAGTTTGCGAATAAGTGTATTTCGCTAATTTCGTGCAATTTGGTTTCAAGTAGAACATAAGGTTGACGGAAACTTGGAAGATGCGCTTACCTGATGAGCCCCAGAAAGGGCGAAACCGGTCGTGGGCTTTCGACGGATTTTCGGCAACCTTGTGAGTAGTGCATTACGGATATACATAGTTCTGTTGGTTTTAGAGTGTCCCACCAGCTGATGGAGTTTTCAAACGACACATCCTGAATTTACTGGTGCGTCGCGATTTACTGGTGCGTCGCGGTAATTAAAACATGGGGCCTGGTTTATTTATATATATACAGTTTCGATTGAAAACGTCTAGTGGGGAGAGTAATGGAACGTGGCTGCTCAGATTGGACTTTGACTGTAATGAGTCAGCAACGTGTGGTTATCACAACACGTTCGGGGATTTTTTGGGAAAGTTTCGATCCACAACACCTGAAACTCCTGCTCTTCTTCAACAGTTTCATTTGCACTTATTTGTGGGACGATTCACAGCATGGAGGGTGCGGAAACACTCGCTGTTTTATCGGTTTCACAAGTCGGCTTTGCTCCTCTTACAACTAGGCATTCATCTTTGGGTTCAGAGAGACACACAGCCAGTTCAACGAGGCAATTCGCTTCTATACTCTTGTTTTTATTACGGTAGAAGCTTCAAGCCTGCATGAATACTTTGAGTGAGATAAAGCGTGTACAGTCAAAAAATGCCATGGCTTGGACTTTTTCCGATTAGTGAATCGTTATATCTGCTTATGTGTCAGCGCAGTGCGGCCAGTACTCCAACACCCCCAGACATTGTCAATTTTTCCATAACGATGTTCCTTCAGTCAGAGAATGCCTTTTTCGTGAACGAATGATCACGATGAGCAGAATTACGGGTTTAGGAGTAGCTCTCAGTCAGTCAACACAGTAACGATCTTGGAAAGCGCATTATTGAGTCATACATGCTTGCTTGGTGCCTGAAAACGCCAGTGGAAGCCCTCGGAACATACCTCAAAGATTTTCATATGCTTGGACTCCAAAAGTGTTATGTCCCACTTGTGCTAAATACCACCTCCGTTTAGTTAGTTAAATGGATCCAGGAGACAAAAAGAAGACTATCATTGGTATATGAAGATAGTCTGTGCGTCATCCGTAGAGTAAATATTGATGAGGTCGGTGGCGGTTCTGCCCAATGTTCTCAATGACTGCTCTACTCATCAGTGGAAACCTAAGAATAGCAAAAGTTAGCTGGTTCACAAAATGGCTGGGCGCTAGTTGTATCCTCGTTACCGATCTGAAGCGTGATCTATTGAACTCCTGAGGATTGTCACAGCTCACCTGTTCTTGACGGAAGTTGCCAGATACGGAGACGTGTCTGAATTCGGAGACCCATTATATCCAAAAAGGTAGTCTAGTGGAGCTTTGGTAATGATAAATAGAACAGGATGAACTGATTCGAACGGAAAGTGTACAGCAGAAAATCGTGAAGGGTGTATGCCAAGAAAGACCGCATGCATTTTAAAATTATGCTCCTACAGAGCCACAAATCACTTTATATGATCTCCCACTATGTTGGACAAAAAACCAGTGATGCATCAAGATTCCAATAGGCTTCCGTAAGCATCATATATGACTGGTCTGGAATACCGCTGGTAGAGGCCCTAGCGCCCCAGTCGACGTCAGAAAAAGGAGACGGCTGAAACGTACTCAACGGCAGGCACGCCAACACCAGAT